TTCTTTTTCGAACTATTTATTCTAAAAAAATTAGAAAAGATTTAAAAACGAATTCGTGCCATACTATATTTACAAGTTTTTAAAAAGTGTATTGGTTTGACACTGGAAAAATGGGCGGAACGTTCTAATTTTAGGTAATTTTATAGATATATCTATTGACCAATTTTTTTATCACTCAAACTTTCCGTGACAAATTTTATCAAATCCTTGTTTACAAAGATTAATTTGATCCAAAATTTAATTTTAAAATTAATTTCTAACATAGGGACCCCTATAGGGAAAATAATTTCTAACTTAGGAGGGTTAGTGGTGGGCGGCGGAAAGTTCGTTTCTTTCACTCTCCCTCCTCCACCTATTTTAATTTTTTTTACAAAATATTTATGTACCATCTGCCTTAAAGTTTTATTTTTACATATAATTTGATTAGATTTTCATATAGGCGCTGTAAAATAAGCGTTTTAATGAAACAATTTTATTTTGTTGAATATCATGTAGCTGAGATAGTTAAGGTAAAATAATAAATTTTCTGCTAAAAAGTATATATATAACGATATTGTTAAGGTCAACAGTGATAAAGTAGTAATTAATAATCAAGAAAAAATTTTCTTCAAAAACAGTTTGTAAAACTATAACTCAACAATCTTTTCTTCGTGTTTTTGGTGAAAAATCGAATAAATATTCTCCAAACTATGTTTTGTCATCGCAATTTTTTTTTTGCCACTCTCCGTAGTTAGCGCTTTTTTGAATTCCCTGAATTTATCCCTACTATGTTGAACGGCCAACAATAAATCTTGCCTGTCCTCTTCATTGTGAACAGAATTAACAAACTCTGACACAAGCTTAATTGCTCGTTCAGAGCAGTCGTTGACAACATATATTCGGCAAACAAATTCAATGAAAGTTTTAAATTGGTCGATAAAGCCCCAAAAAGATGAAGGACAGTTCAGCCAAGGTTTATTATCGTCTTCGCTCAAATTTAAGAGACTGAAAATAAACCACGAGTTCCTACCAACCAACTGTGACAAGCTAGGTATTTCTCCCGGGTGAAGTCTAGATCTTTCGGAAGGATTGGATTTTCAAACTTCTAATTGTGAGTAGGAACAGGTTGCGAGAAAAGAACTTTTGCAACTTTTTCTTTCTCATCATCTTCTAGTTTTTTATCTGCGAGACATAATGGAATCAAAGTTTGATCCAAATACCACGTATGTCTCTCCATTGATTTCAATACTTCCTCAATTCCCTCTAGTACATCATTAGCTCCTGAATCATAAGATTCCACCCAATGTTTATACTGGACCATCTGCCAGTACGCATTTAAATCTTGATAAGGTGCAGACGAAACTAAAGAGGAACGCACAAACCACACAGTATAAAATATAGAAATAAATTCTGCCATTTTACTGATTTCTTTTTGTAAACAAGCTGTCAATTGGTAGGGCATCTGATTACTTAAAACTTGAATTTTAAGATAATATATAGACTTTGCCATAAAACGAGCATGGGAAACTGATCCGGGAGCATAAATATTAAAGCTTACATCTGGACATAAGTAGGTGAGTGTAAGTTCTACCAGTTCTTTATAATCACCTCTTGGAAATACTAAATTGGTAAGTGCATACTTGCAAAATTAAACAGTTTTTTCGATCTGTTTTTTGAGATACGTTCCTTTACCTGCGGCTTTGTCAAACTTTTTGAACTTTGATTTATCCATAGTTTCCTTTGTTGCGTTCCAATTAGCTTGGAAAACTTTAAACCTCAGATTTTCAGAAGCATAAGTTTTACCAATGTGAACTTTTTCCCAAAAATGTTTACAGTAAAGCTCATAAACATGTCTTCGACATGCAAGCTGTAATATAATTGACCCCTGTGTTTGACAAAACCTAATGTTTGTGCCGGAATATTTTCCTGTATTAGTTGAAGTTGTGTCAAAGCACAGACCCTTTATATAAGTTCTTAGTTTATATTCATTCAAAATGTTTATTAAAGTATCATGATGAGATTTTCAAGTACAATTTTCCATTGGCGGAATGCCAAGAAGTCTTAAATCACCATCGATATTTACAAGAACAGCAAAACGATCTCTTTTTTGTTTTGTACCGTAAGTAATATCCTGCAAGATTTTTCCATCAAAGTGTGCAATTATTGGAAATTTACTTTAACTTGCAGCTTTTATTATATCTTCTCAATATTAAGCTGTACTTGTACTAATTGGTTTCTTTTTTTGCACGTCTGATAGTAGATTCAGAAATCTGTCAAACTGCCCCCAGAAGTAACTACTATGTCAGAGAGCAAGTGTATCATATTTCTAGGTGAAATATTTTTAGAAACACCTGTAATTGCAACTTCTTTTGCAAATCTTTTAGGTAATACTGTTGAAGCACTAGTACCTGATTTTATTTCGTCTGCTGAATAGTCGGAACCCTGACAAGAGGAGACCTCACTTTGTTCTGATGATAAGAACTCAATTTTCTCAGTTTTATTCTCTTGTTGCTCAATAAATGTTAAATATCGCAATCTTCTTTCTTCTATTTTTTTCAGCTTTCGGCAATATGCTAAATCCTTTGAACCAAGTGTCATTTTATGTTTCGTCATTTGATCATTTTAAAATTGCTTATCTGAATTGTATGAATCTAGATTGTTTCCATGTTTCTTCTTCAAAATGGAGCAAATATCATGTTTTCCAATCCAAAAAACTTTCTTAGCATTTTTTTTAAAGATGTTTCTAGCTAATTCTGCTGCGTTGCCTTTTTTATTTTTATTTTTTTTTCAACGTTGCCCATTTTTCAACTAGATCATTTAATAGTTTCCTAGAACATATAATATTTATTTAACTTTTTTCTAATTGCTTTAAAACTTTTTAATGTAGCCTCATATAAGAGAGTGAAAATAGTCAACAAATTAATATAAGCAAAAGTAAAATTCGGTAAAAATAAAAAAACTCTAATTATAGATCATTTAGCAAACCTGATGTGTCAGGTTTGCTAAATGATCTATATTTAGCAAATATAGATCATTTAGCAATCATAATTGTCATGAAATATGCCGCCATCATATCCTCCATCGATCCACGGTTTCTTTATTGCAAAAAGGATGCAGTTCTGAGGACATATTGCTGGTTCAGAGCATGCTGACATCATTTTATCTTGGGAAGCACAACCAATCAAAATTTTGGTGGGAGTATTTTTGTCTAACAGACGCCTGAGTTATTAAGATTAAATTTAGATTTTATATATTCGTTTTGCAAACTGAAATTTAATTACTTGGTTAATATATTTAATGATAATTTCTAACCAGTTTAACGTTTTAATCATACCATAATGAAAATGAAGAATAATGTCCTCATTTGTGGCAAACTGCGTTTCACAAAGTTTTTCTAACACTTTTTTTCTTCAAATATAAATGTCTTTGAAAGTGATCTCGTAATTTTTGGTAGCATATTTAATTTCTTTTAAATCTTCGTTTTATTTTACCTTTAAAGTAAAAGTTATAAATTACAGTTTATAATAACAAAAATATTCTAAGCTTAAGTAAAAGTATGGCACAAATTCGTTTTTTAATCTTTTCTAATTTTTTTTTGAATAAATAGTTCGAAAAAAAAAGATTGTTTTTGTTTGTGACACACGTGAGTTAAATTCGATTGCAAGCGTCATTCTATTTAAATATACTTAAAAATTATACTTTAAAATAAAAAATGAAATTATTAAAAAGTTAGTGCATTTTAAGCTATTTTTCTTGACCTAAATTAGTATATATTTTTTTATGGCGGTTGGGATTTAGTTTGAAAAAATTGCTGAAAAATGACGCACCCTACTGTATATCACCCCCACCCCCCTCCCCTGTGAGACTTTTATTGGAAATGTTTGCAACCGCAAACATGCATCAGGATACTCAGCATTTAATAATCTTGCCGTTTTTGTGTAACGTGACTTTTGTCAGTTCGCTTATATAAAGCACAACAAGATTGTTCACAGTGCGAAATCAACCCAAGATGACCTCAGTTTAATTGATTATTTAACTTAAAGGAATTTGATATTGAGACATTCGATGTGAATGTGTCGTTTTTAATACCACTATTCTTTTAGCAGAGTTTGTTTTGAAATTATTTAATCTCCTTTTTTTTTATACATTCGATTTATGTTAGATTGAACGTTGAGTAAATATTCTTAGAGATTGTGTTAAAATTAAGTACGACAGACTAATTAATACAAGATTTTGTTATTTAATTTTATTGAATATATTTCTAATGATTCAAACTAAGGGTTACTGTGTTTAGGCTAAGTAATGTTTTAAAGACTAATATACATTTTATATAATAGATTGCACGAAGCTATGCAGAATTGCTGTAAACTGTTTGTATCAAAATTTTTTAGCTTTTAAAACTCTGATAGTTGGCCTCATTTTTGTTAATTTTTCCTTTTTTTTTTTCTTATAGTTACTGATTTTTTAAGCTATTAATATTATATTTATATTTTGTCTTTATATTTATTAAAAGGTTGTTACCTTGTACATATCAAAAGTATGCATATATTTCAAAATCTATTGGTTCTATACTTTTATTACTACCTGTTAATTCCATGGTAATACTTTGATGTACATGCTTTATATATATATATATATATATATATATATATATATATATATATATATATATATATATATATATATATATATATATATATATAAATATATATATATATATATATATATATATATATATATATATATATATATATATTATTGTTGTTGTTGTTATTATTATTACAATAACAGTAACAGAATAACATCAAAAAAGGTTTAGTAATCATCATAAGTAAAGTTTTAAGTAATTGTGAAAATAAAAGCTTTTAAAAATATAAAGACATTTGCCTAATAAAAAACAACTAGATATTATCATAAACCCAGACACAAGCTGAACAACTAATTCATTATGAACAAAAAAAAATATTCTACTTTAATATTTAGTTTTTTACAACATGAAACTTGTATAAATAATAGTTTATTAAGCATTACTTTACAAAAAAGTTTCCTTCAAAGTTTATTAATTAGTATGGATAAACTCTTAATCAATAAATTACGTGAGCAAATCATTATGAATAAATAATAGTTTGAATTTAAAAAAAAAGAAAAAAAAAGATGTAATTATGATGATTATACATTGATAAATGAAAATTGAAAAACATTTTTGTCGAGGTAAAGTTGTATGTAAAGAAATTATTTAGCAAAGTACTAGGATTAGAATAGAAAACAATAGTTAAAGCAAATTAAAAAATGATGCTATTGTTAGAGAAGTCTATAAAAGCTGGATGAAAAAATACTTCAAATGAAATCAAAGTAAAACAAGGTTGACTGCTCGTTTTAAAAAATTGCATGATAAAGAGTTTAAATGGAGTAAAAAAAATTGTAAATTGTAAAAATTGGACTAGCAAAATTGATATCTTTTAGTGAAGTGAAATAAGCTGTTTAAAGAGCTCATTCAGAGAAGGTTGATGGTTCTTCTGGTGTTTAGATAACATGTTGAAAACTCTGAAAATGTGGGTAATGTGGATTTCAGATTTTTACAATTCAACTTTACATGAAGATAAAATCTCAAATAATTAGAAAAAAAGGTTAGATGTGAAAGATTTATTAAGGACTCATTTATTTTATATTAGATCTATAAAGATTTATTAAATTTATTTTTATTAGATTTATGTTAATTTAAATTTTTATAGTTGTATTAGATTTATAAAGGAGGCATGTTTAAAACTTTTTAGAAAAGATTGCAAATGACATTACCTTGAAAAGGCTTTTAAAAGAGTATTTGTGTCGCCTTTGAGGTTGTCATAGAATGGATGGTAAAAATTTATGTGGGTATATATGTCAATACAGCAATTAAGACATAAAATGGAGAGGGTGAGAGTTTTAAAATAAATGATGTTCATCAGACTTCAAGGTTCTTTTAGTTCTTTGCTTTTTATTTTTGTTTTAGAGGCATGGTCATAGCAAAGAGATTTTAAAGGATGGGAAGGTGAGAGATGAAAAAAAGGGGTTTGCTGACTATAGACAAAAAAAAAATTTTTTTTAAAAAAGGTCTTTGTTGGCTGGCATTTACAGACTACAAACTAAAAATCCAAATTTGTTGACTTTAGTGTCCAAATTTGGCAATTAATTAAAATAAATTTCTCCTAGGGGGTTTAGACATCCTCTGTGCCCCTTCCTAATTTCCGCATTGTTTAAAAGCTCTTTTTATTAAAAGTTTTTATAAAGAGTTAAGTTTTATTATACCTTAAGAGCTATTCTAAGCAGATTTATAACTAAGAATTTATACTTAATTGACAGAAGAAAATCATTACTCAGTATTATGACAAGATGGAATAAAAGCTAAAGAGCTTAAATAAACATGAGTAAGACGAAAGTAGTCTATGTAAAGTAAAAAATAAGCAAGTAGAAGTAGATAGACAAGAGACGCTATCACTTTAGAACAGCGCCCATTATAGTATTTATAGAAAAGAGAAGCAACATGACGATGTGATAATGGTTGAAGGGTGGCTGCAAGAGCAGGTCCAACTATGTTTAAAATGCTTTTTGCACCTTGTCTAAAAGAGAAAGGGCATCATTCCAAAATTCGCTCAATATATGGCAACACTATTCCATGCAAAGATGGATTGGAAATATATAGAGATAGAGAATAGAATCCAGAGTAAGAAAGTGGCAAACACAATAAAAAGATGCTATCTTAGCAGATGCTAATTTTGAAATGGATTTGATATATGGTTTTCAAGAAAGATTAGAAATAGGAGTTAATCCTAGAAGATGAAAGGTAGATGACTCATTAAGTTCATTATTGTTCATAAATATAGGAAGATCTAGATTATTGCGATAACAATTGGGTGAAAAAAAGTTGAAATTTATCTGAGTTAAAGTTCACAAACCACTGAGAGCCCCATGCTGTAGCAAAAGTGAGATCCTTTTCAAGCTCCAATGCCCCCCCTCCCCAAGCAATCAAAGAGTGTTCTTATCAAGACAAGAATAAATGGTAGCATCACCAGCAAACAACACCATCATTTCTGTGAGACTGTTAATGTAAATTTTAAAAAGTATAGGGCCAAGGATAAAAACTTGAGGAACCCCTGAAGTTTTAGAAAATGAAAAAGAATGCTGTTCATCAAGGCCAGCATTTATACTGCAATTGGTAAGGAATGATTCAATAGTCTTAATGATGTTACTTGAGAAGACCAGCATGACAAACTTTATTAAAAGCTTTAGAAATGTTGAGAGCGATTGCCTTAAGCCCTCTACATCTATCTAATGCACAATAAAACCTATCAGTTATTACCATTAACAAATTAGCAGTAGAACGAGAAGATCGAAATTCATATTGATTATCAGAAAGTAAGTTATTAGATTCAAGACAAAAGATTATGTGTTAAATAAAGGCTTAAAAACCTTGCTTATGATAGTAAGAAGACTAATGGAATGGTAGTTAGACAAGTCAGAATTTGCTCTCCAGAATTTTCGAAATTAGGGATAACATTTGCTGCTTTCCACCAGGCTGGAAAACAAGCACTTGTTTATTCTAACTCTAATTTTTTTAGAATTTTTTTAACTTCTAAATTTTTCAACTCTATTATTTGTTTAGTGTGTAAGCAAAAGTGCTCCTAATGTTTTTTGTGGATTGAAAGAGGCATCAGGAGCTAAAGTCAGGTGTTTGTAAGGTGTTCTAAGTTCAAAACTAAAGGTACAAAAAGTAAGGTGTTCCAAGTTCATAGAGAACTTCTCTACTTCTAACAGTAAAAGCTGCATTATTAAATTTTAAAATAATGTTATACACCACATGTTTTAGAGTGTATGGCAGTAAAACATAGGCTATCAAGGTTAATGATGTCCAGAAACTAATGAGAAATGATTAGATGTATGTGTGATGTTGATATTTTTTATTAATTATTTATTAATTAAAAAATTTGAAAAAAAAGAAAATCTGATATGGTGTTATAAGAAATATTAATAAGGTTTGGGCATGTAGAGGTGATGATGATGATGATGATGATGATGATGATGATGATGATGATGATGATGATGATGATGATGATGATGATGATGATGATGATGATGATGATGATGATGATGATGATGATGATAAAAGTATTTCTATTTTTATGCTTTTATATTTGTAATTTCTTTTACAGGAATTTTTTATTAACTTTATTCATTTATAGTTTTATTTACAATCACCTTATGACAATGTACTTATTAAAAATAAAATTATTTATTGTAAAATTTTTTATTTTTTTTTATTGGAAAGATTCTACAAGACTTATTGTCTTTTCATTATTTTTTTTATCTCCTAATTTAAATCATTTGATATAATTATTTATTTTAGAGTTATTTGTTTAATTTAGTTTAAAGATATAATTGTTTATTTTAGAGTTATCTATTTTATCGTGGCTATTTTATCGTGTTTTTTTTTTTGTTATATAATTTGATATTAAAACATGAGCGCTTTAAAATATGTTTTAATATTTCTTTTTTACACTGATAAATAAAATATTGTAATTTTTTAGTGAAATGCAAAATTTGTCATTTTTTCATAGAAATGCAGAACTCAATGCCATTCGATGGAGTAAAAGTTGATCCTGATAATCCATTTGATAAGATTGTGTTTTTGGAAAATGCAATTATTCAAGACGGCTTTAATATTGGTTTTAGTGAGGGTGAGAAAACTGCTATAGAAGAAGGTTTTCTTCTTGGAATTAATAAAGGAAAAGAGATTGGTAAAGAAATTGGGTTTTACAAAGGCTTAGTTACCACATTTCTGCTGCTCACAGAAGATGACTTGAAGGGCAAAACATTAAAGATAATATCTAAGTTTAAAAAACAGTTAGACGAGTTTTCTTTTGATCCTCAAAACGAAAGCATAAACGACAATCTAGACGAAATAAGATCAAAGTTTAAACAGATATCTTCAATTTTGAAAATAAATTTTGAACAAAACCTTATTCTCTCTAAACTCTCGTTTTGAATATCTTGTAAAATATCTTTTTCTAATATTTATATTATTTTTGATTTTTGTATTTCGATTCTTATTTTTTGTTATGTTTTAATCATTAAGAATTTCTTTTTTTTAAATGAAGTAACATTTTATTCTTCTAAACAGAGCTGTGTTGACACTTGCGAAATCATCGATAGCTATCGATAGCTTTGAAGCCATCGATAGCTATCGTTAGCTTCAAAACCATTGATAGCTTCAAAATCATTGACAGCTATCGGTAGCTTTTAATGAAATTAAAATTAAAACCTTTCAAAATTTTTTTAGTTACAAAAATGTACAACAGCAACAGTGGAGTTTTTGTCTACTATTGTTGCCATTTTTCTTTTCTTTTTCATCTTTTTACTATTAATAAATTTTACCTGTTTAAGCCTAAACTATAATTGCAATAATGAAAAAGAGAAAAACAATCGCAACAGTAGTAGACATAAGAACAATCACAACAGTAGTAGACATAAGTCACTGGTTTTGCGTTTTCGTAGTTAAACTGGTTGTAGTGAAAAACAAATTTGCTAATAATCAAGGTCCTTATTTACAACATTTTCGTAACTTTTGCGTAGCTGAGCAAAATATACGAAAAATGTTAGCGAATAATTTTTTTGTAACTGTTTGGTATTCATAAACTTTTCACGCAAATATTTTATCACTTTCTTGAAAATTTTATTTAAATGGTTTGTGAGTTACGCCGAACGTAATTCAGTAAAAGGCAAACGTAACTTTTCTTGTTTAAAGTTTGCTAAACATTTTTTTAAAAAATGATAATATTTTTTAAAATTTCTGAAAAATTCAAGAGATGTTGTACGCAGAATGTTATGCAAAACCTTACGCAAGAATTGTGAAAATGAGCGTATCTTTTAACCAATTTTTGACTAAGTAAAGTGTTGTGAACCGGTGTCGCGTTAAATAAGTAGATCGTTAAATAAGTAGACAGTCAGTTCTGCGCAAGCGTGACGCATGCGCAAATACGGTGTAAAGTTTCCGTTAGGTAAGTCAAATTTATAGTTAAATAAGTAGCCTTGTTTACGTTAGGTATAAACTTAAAAAACAAAAATAATAATATTTTTAAATTTTTTAAAGCTTTATAATTAAATTACCAGTCTATAATTACTCAGTTAAAGATGCTTAGCAGTATGTCGCTGGTGGAATAATAAATTATTATAATAAAAAATGTCAACTTTGTGGTAGGTGTATATAAAAGTTAAACTTTTATATAATTTATGTTTAAGAGTTTATGATTATTGTGTATATACACAATAAAAATCCCAAAACAACTGTAGTTTTTGAGATGCTGAGACATAGTACAAAATTAACTTCAGAAACATACAATATTATAAAATATGTATTTTATATCATTGTATGTTTCTTAAGTTAATTTTGTACTATATCTCAACATCTCAAAACCTACAGTTGTTTTGGGACTTCCATTTTATGCATTGACTTATTTGTCAATTTTGCCTAAAACTGTTAGTTAATTTTGCTGTATATTTAAGTGTTGCAATAATTAAACTGTTTTTAATAAATATTTTTAGTAATATTTTAAGTATTACTAAAAATATTTATTAAAAACAGTTTAAGATTAAATTAACTGTAAATTTATTATGGATTTGAACCTAATTTTCATAAAGTGACCCAAGGTACAGTCCAAAAAAAGCTTACTTTTCTAGGGCCACTACTTTTTAAACCCTTCTACTTGATGGAATTTTATTAGTATAAGTCAATATATTTATACAAAGTAATTAGTATAGAGATATGATTGTATCAGTTTCGCCTTTTTTACACAAACTTCCCCTAGACTTTTAGACGTAGACCTCTTGCTTTAATAAAACTTGGAAAAAAATGTATTATTAAAATTACTGATTGTTAAAGTAAATATACTGAAAAAATAACAATTTATGTAACTACTTTATTTTATAGATTTTTGATACTCTTCAAAAAATTCTAAAATTTTAGATTATTTGATATAGTCTGCTTATTTTCATCAATCCAATCAACAAGAAAAAGGTTCAGAGTTTAAACTGGTAATGGTATTACCAGTTAACAAAATGCTTTGAAATTAACAAAGTGCTTTGAAAAAAGCTATTTGTTAATGATAGTATCATTGTAAAAATGGGCTGTCAAAGTTCAAATGTTTCTAAAGTTTTCTTTAAAGTCTTTCAATACAGTCTAAAGACAAGGTCTTAGATATTTTGAGAGACTCATCTGGCTGGCCAGATAACACCTTGATTGATATAGCACAAAGTTTGTTTTTATATCAGTTTTCTAAAATATTTAGATTTCCAAGTTTAAAATATCTGAGATTTTTTGCATTTTTACTTGTTTTAATTCAAGTGGTTTTTCAGAAAGTTATATTGGGTGTTTCTAAGTAATTTGTCCTGATGTTGTTTCACATTGAAAGTGTGTTCAGTTTTATGATTCACTCTTTAATAGTTTAAGTTGATGTGCCATTGTTAGTGCATAGAGTTGTACATGAAAATGATTGTGATTTTTTTTTTAAAAGGAAATGCGACGGTATGATGGTGCAACAGTATATTTGTGTAGCAGTATCAACCTAAGTTTGATTATATAAAAAGGTAATGAAATGAGCTAGCATTACCTGAAATATATTGAGAATGGAACATTAGAGATGTTACCTTTTGTTACTATGTTATACTTTCATAAAAGATGTGCCTTTAGTACTATTATTGTTGTGAATGTATCTTATTATTACTGCTGTTTTTGTTTTTGTTTTTATGACTTATTTGAATATTTAAATTCAATAATTATATGTAAATACATTTTTATTTTATTGTTGGTTTGTTTATGTTTGTTATTGTTTATGTTGTTTTTTTTTATTGTTGGTATTGTTTATGTATGTTTTAGTTAATATTTAAAAAGTTCATTACTTATTTTATTTTTGTAAGTGTCTTATAGATGTGTAAAGTTATACAATTGGCTAATTTAGGTCAACTAGTGCTTGTTCTTTATTTTGTTACTGGCATGATTTGTTTTGCTCACTTTGTAGTTTTTTTTTTCTTACTGTCATCAGTTATTCATTTTATCAACAAGGGTTATTGATATAAGATATTGTTAATAGGTACAGTTATTAAAGACAATTCTTTATTTACTTACATTTGTTGCGGTTGCAGTTAACTATAGCTGCTATTACAACTATACCAAAAGTAGTATTTAAGAATATGGCTAATTTTTAATTATAATGACATATTTGATCAATTTTTTTATAGAATATTGTGAAAGTATAGACTATTCTGGCATGTTGATACCATGGCTGTTTTAACATTTATATGATTTATAAATTCAAATCCTTCTGGCACACTTTTAGAGTTCATTTTATAAATCAATTTATTGAAATATATTGATCAATGCATTTAATAAGTACTCTTCTGGTACAAAAGCAGGTACTTTTATTTTTTTTTTTTTTATTCGTTACGATTTTATGATACTATTTATATTTTACTATATTTCTATACTATATAGGCTTGTAATTCCATGTGGAAAAATCGAATTTCTTCCAAAAATGCCCAAGTTTCAACCAAGTTGATATTTTTTAAAAGAACTTAAAAACCATGTTATTTTATTTTGCTATTTATATTGTGTAAAGATATTTTGATCTTATTTTTAAAATAAAGTTTTAGTGTAGCATGAAGTGTGTCGTTTCTTTAATGTCGTTTTTATTTAAAACATTACATAGTAAGAAATAGTAAACTAAGTTTAGGTAACATTTTATTATTATTGTGCTATACATACACCGCTAAAATCTTCGAATAATACCTGTCTAGGTTGTTATTCAACGGTAGTACAGTAATGGTGAGCGCTCGCCTCATAATCGAGAAGTTCTGAGTTCGATCACCACCACGTCCCTGGTACTACCGCACTCAACTTGTTTCTCCGCGTAGCGGTTTTGTATGTATGTATGTATATATATATATATACATACATACATTTTGTATGTATGTATGTATATATATATATATATATATATATATATATATATATATATATATATATATATATATATATATATATATATATATATATATATATATATATATATATATATATTAGGGTGTGACATTCGCCCCCTATATTCTAAAAAAGATCTGTTCATATTCTTAAAACCTTCTATTGGTTCTCACAAACAACTTTGTTAAATTTTTTCAAAATTTTATTAGATTTAGGGGGAGCACCATTGACACCCTTGAACACTTACCAGGTCCTTAATATTATATTAAAAAATCATTTTTCAAAAATATGTCATGTTGGGTCTCAAAAGAAGTAAAATATAAAAAATTTTAAAATAATAATATTATAAATTATTATTTTAGAGTTTTTTTTTGCAGAAAAATGACCTATTTTAACCTAAAAATGAAAAAAGTGTATTTTTCTGATAATTATTCCAAAAAAAAATCTTAAATAATAATTTTTTTATAAAATGATTGTTATTTTTAAAATTTTTATATAATTTCGCTTCTTTTGAGACCCAACTTGTTATATTGTTGAAAAACTTTTTTTTATATAATATTAGGGACCTTGTAAGTGTTCAAGGATCTGATGCTCCCGCTAAATCAAATAAAATTTGGAAAAAACTTAATAAAGTTGCTTATGAGAACCAATAAAAAGTTTTAAAAATATAAACAGATCTTTTTTAGAATATAGGGGGCGGATGTCACACCCTAATATATATATATATATATATATATATATATATATATATATATATATATATATATATATATATATATATATATATATATATATATATATGTGTATATATATATGTATATATATATATATATATATATATATATATATATATATATATATATATATATATATATATATATATATATATATATATATATATATATATATATATATATATATATATATATATATATAGTACTGGAAAAATTATTATGGATTTTTCAGTTTTTAAACAAAAATCAAGTTTTTTACTTTAAAAACAATCATAACATAAAAATAAAGTTACAGATTATATATTCCAGGTATATCAAAGTTAATACTTGGTTTGACCACCTTTGGTAGCTTTCAATGCTTTTACTCTCTTGGACATGCCTATGATTAAATCACGTGATAACTTTGTGATTTTTTCGCTGTGGAACCAGAAATGGATTAACCTCTCTATAAGCTGTGCTTTTGTAGTAATTGGAACTTTGTGTATTTTTTCCTTTAAAATGTTCCATAAATTCTTAATTGGGTTCATATCTGGTGAATTCCCAGGCCATTCGACTACAGAGAATCCATTGACTCGGAACCATCTTATTGACAACTTGCCCGTTTGGCAAGGAGCACAATCTTGTTGAAATATAAAATCTTTATTAGTGAGCCTAAAAAAATAGAGGTGTTGGAGAAATGTTTGATCCCTCAAGTCTCTGACCTGAGGGACCAAACATTTCTCCAACACCTTTATTTTTTTTTATTTTTTGAGAACTTAAACTTAAAATTTGTAAAGTTCAAATACATACAAAGCGCACCATCTACTACAGAGAGTAAAACAAATTGACACAGACTCAAATTAACATATTTCAGAATTTACAGTTAAATTTCAGAAACTTTTCTTGTCTTGCTCTTAAATGACCCTAAAATTAAAAAAATCAGATCTAAATAGATTTTATTTGAAAATAAAATAGTCCCATTACAATATATATAAATGTCATTAAAACAAAAGCATCATAGACCACTGAAAACTTTTTAGTTGTCTCAACTAATGGAATTTAGTGACAATTCTAAAAATCCATTATAATTTTTCCAGCACTGTTTATATATATATATATATATATATATATATATATATATATATATATATATATATATATATATATATATATATATATATATATATATAGATAGATCCAAAAAGCCAACTTTAAAAAGAAAAAGTTTAGATGGTTGATTTCACGTAAGAAATTTAGCGAGTTGATTTTACGTATCCATTTACAAATCGACTGATTGTAAGTAATAAATGAGATAAGCTATTATTGGCAAACAATAGCTATTTTTGACCTTATGTGACGTTATATTAAATAGTGCAAAAGCGTTAAAGGTTAAATTTTTTAAATAAATAACACTTCTGTTGACTTAAATTAAATTGCGTCAATTATGAAGTAAATTGTTATCAATATTATCTGACAAAATTATTAAAATCAATAGCACTATGAAAATAACATTTTTATCTTAGATGCACAAATAGTCTGGAAATTTACAATTTGAAAAACATTTTAAACTCAACACTAATATTGTTGAAAACATTTTCAAAACAATTCGATTAACTTAGTACTTTAGGATTTGTTAATTTACTTTAGACGAATAACTTACAATATTTATTTACTACTTTAAATAGTTTTCCTATAAAAGAAAAATTAAATTGCTATACATTTGACAGATAGATTTTTTAAACTTTTTTATCGATTATATAAAAAAAATACAAAATTTTAAATAACTTTTCCTCAAATATCCATACTTTTTTGTATAATTTTTTTTCTATAAAAACAAAAATTTAATGATATGATTACTAAAAAAGTTTATTAGATAGTTATTATCAAAAATATGCATGCTAATTCTAAACTAGCATATCTCTTTTTCATGCAAATGATACAATTAAATTTTTTGTTAAGATAGCACTAAAAACCAACGCTTTTGCGTATTATATTAAAAAAAAATTTATCTTCCATCGTTATTATATAACCGTACCATAAATGAATCTTCGATCTATAATGAAAAAATGGTGATTTCGATTTTGATTTTAAGCACATCCAAAAGAATGTGTTTAAAATCAAAATAATTTTTCATTTTTGCTTGTTGAATTTTCCGTCATTCTTTAACGAGGTTGTTGATAATTGTGTTAATCAAATAATATCTTGTTTTTTAAATAATATTTTGTTATAATATTTGCAACTGCTACAACCTGCTACAACCTGTTCTCTGACACCTTTTCCTCTATCAATAAAATGTAGGACTGCAGAGTATACTGCTTTCAAAACCGTCTTCGGTGAAATAATCAGATTTTAGGCATACAAACTAATTAAGACATTAATCAATTTGCAAATAATTATGATAACTTTATTTTAAAAAGTCAGTCTTTTTTCATATAAATCTAAATCAGGTTTTGAGTTTTTAAAAAACTACAGACCTAGAAAGTTCAGCGCATGTGCCTATATATAAATATAGATAACACATATCTTTAACACTAAAATCAAACGTAACAGACACTATATCTATATATCTATATATTTATATATCTATATATCTATATATCTATATATCTATATATCTAAATATCTATATATCTATATATCTATATATCTATATATCTATATATATATATATATATATATATATATATATATATATATATATATATATATATATATATATATATATATATATATATATATATATATATATATATATATATATATATATATATATATATATATATATATATATATATATATATATATATATATATATATATATATATATATATATATATATATATATATATATATATATATATATATATATATATATATATATATGTATATATATATATATATATATATATATAGTGAAGTCCTCTAACCCACTAGCCACCGCACTGATCTCATATAATGTACAAACGTAATTTTAAAAGTTAATTAGTTTTTTTTTTATATATATATATGTAAAATGTAATGTAAATCTTATATATATAAGATTTACATTCCAAAAAAATAAAAAAAGATTTTAAATATGAAATGAACCGCCAATTATAAAAAACTAATTACTTATGTGTTAACTAGTGGGCGGTATCAGAGTGGTAATTGCCTAATGTTTGAATTAGTGGGCGGTAATTTTATTTTTGTGCCAATTTTTACTTGACATCTCTTTTTAAGAATTTTCTAAAAGCCTGTAACTGCAGATTAAGTTATTCAATACTTTTATATTCATGTCATTTTTTTTTATGCAATGTTCTTTTTACGTTTTTATTAAAATCAAGATTTTTAACACTAGTGGTCCATTAGACCATTTTGTATACTTATTTGACCTACTTTAAAAGTTAACTAATAAAAAAAATTGTTCATGTTCTTTTAAATATATATATTTAAAAGAACAAGAACAATTTTTTTATTAGTTTAACTTTTAAAGTAGACACTATAATAATGATATCTCATTCTAAATAAGTATTATCAGTAAAGGTTATAATAAAATTACTAAATCGTCAATGTCAAAAAATAAACTATGAAGAGGAAGAATGTTTGGAAGAGTAGAATGAGAGTTTTGTGTTTACACAATCATAGTCTAACTTGTTTTTCAACGTGTTTACTGGAGACGTGAGATAACGTTGACGTTTCTTACGTTTCCGGTAAACACGTAGAAGCCAGATTATGACAGAAGAGTGTAAGCATATTAAAAAAAGAAGCTTGTAAATTTGGATGCAAATACGTATAATAAATTTCACTGTTTACTTATGGCAAAGTTTTCGCTGTGAGAAAAATTTCTCCGCATTAGCTTTTGATTTTTTTATTCTTTCATAAGGGGTCGTCCATAAATTGTCACGCAATTTTTGACTAATTTTGACCTCCCCCCCCCCTCGTCACAAAATTGTAATACTTAAGAATCAAGTTTTGTATGAGTCGTCACAAAATCACCAACCCCTCCCCCCCCCCCCCCCCTACAGCGTGACGTAATTTATGGACGAGCCCTAAGAAGTTTTTGGTTAGTTAATTAAAGTAGTAAAAATTGCGTTTATTAAACAAAATTATTCAATTACACTAACAATAGTTTTATAAAATGTTATATAATAATATGTTGAAAAACTATGCTTCACTTCCGATTTCAGTTAGAAATTAAAGTTTATTTAAAAACTAAAAAATTATATAAAAAATTAATTTTTAAATCATTTTATTACTTCTTTGTTTTTAATTTTTAGATATTAAAAGATTTTGATTTTTTCTTAAGAATTTTTAATAAATTCATTTAAAATTGAATCGTAATGACAAATTTAAAAAAATTTTTGCTCCCTTAAATAAAATAAATTTAAATGACACATTTAATACGTTATTACGCGACAGATTCTAATAAGATATCGTTCAATTTGATTACAAAATAATTTAATTATCTTTCATTTAAAAAACAATGCTTTTAAAAAAAAAATTTATCATATTTGAACTTCAATAATCTCTGGACAGTTCATATTTTATTTGTAAGTTGCTATTAAAGAGAATTTGGTGTATGTTTTTTTGTTTTCACCTGACAACTATTGTTTGTTTATGTGTCGTTACTTTGTAATATTAAACTAACATATTTGTTTATTCTTTAGTTTTGCTTCAACAACTTTGTGAATAACGCTAGTTTATTACAAAAAAATAATTTGTAGTAACAACAATGGCAAGAAAAGTTGATGCTAAATCAGAAATAGATGTAAGTAAATTTTTTAAATTAGTAATATGATGTAAAATGATGATTTCACAAATTGTTTATACATAAGTTTTAGATTATTGATCATGGAATAACTATGAATTATTTTGTTTGATGTATAGAATTTTGTTAATGCCGCAATATCCGACTGTATAAGATACTGTTAATAATGCAATGCCCGCTTCTTCATTGTGTTCCTATAAAAAATCGTTTGTTCTTTGTTAAATCAAAACGTCAAGCACTATAATATAATAGTATAAAACAATATTCAAATATTTATATTATTGCATTGAATAATTTAAGCTATATTTATATGCAGAAACTTTTTTTCTTTTAATTTGAAAATAGAACTATATAGTTCCATTTTTATTTTTCAATATTTTATCAGCACTTAAACATTTAGAAAAGATAAAAAAAAGCTAAAATCCAATAAAATGGGTTTTTAATCCATGCGATAATTTTTGATGTCGGTTTGAAAAAAATTACCAGCAAAAAAATACTAACACCGTTGCATAATTTGTCTCTTTTTTTTGATAAATAAACCTACTAAGTTGAAGTTGCATTTAACAATGTTTTACTTATATTTAATACTCTTGCGTTTAAAAACATGGATTCAAAATTGCGCTCTATATAAAAATATCGGCACACAAATGTTTAAATAATTGTTTAAGAATAGACAAAATATTTAAATAAACAGCACATTCTAAATGATGATGAAATGTATGCAATGTTTTAGCTACATGGCTGTCCTAATTTGATGTCTTAAATAAACTCCTCAAAATCTAACTATATTTGTTTGTCACTTAAACAATTACATTTGCAATAGTAAAGAATTTTATTTTATTATGACGTTACACATTTTGACACACTTTTTTTTTGTTATCGCTTTTTATTCATGACTAAACAAGATATAACAAGTGTTTAGACCACTACTTGTCTATGCACTTTTACTAAATTAGGGTCAAAGCAATTTGGGTGCGTGCGCGCATGAGTACGTAAGCGTTTATATTTACTATATTCTGTTGGTAAAGTAGTAATTTGATAAAATTGTTTGTCAAAAAATTCCTGTTCAGTAAAAACAAACATAATTATAAATAGAAGTATTGTTTTTTCCTTTCTGTATCCAAATTACTCAAAGAAAAAAAAAAACAATCAGTAAAATAAATAAACATAAGCTATAAGTGTAAATAAGTAATAAAAAAGAACGTAAAAAAATTTAATTAATTACATTAACCCATATTTCAATTGAATTAAATTAAGATTAAAAGTACGCATGCGCAAAGTAAGTTTAAAAGATTAAATAAAATTCAGCAATAACAATAAAGAATAAAAAACAAACATGGCACTTATTAGTGAAAGACGAGTGATTGGTGGCAATGAGTTAATTGTCCAGAAAACTGTTGGGGTACGAAGATATATAGAATTATAATAGTTATTACATGTTAAAACTTTTAAAATTTTTATGTTAAGTGAGAAAGTTTTGCTTGATTATTTTTCTTAAAAATTAAAAAAAATAAAGTTTCAAGACAAGTTAAGTTAAATTTTTTTAAAAAAAAAAAAAAAAAGAAAATTAACAAGAAGCGTATAGAAATAAATGTCATCAAAGTAATCTTTATTAAAATATTTTATTATATTTTAAAATTAATCTGTTTAAAGTAGTTGTTAAAAAATCGTTTTTGTTAATATTGGTTGTTTGCCATAGCATAAATTGGCACATGAGCGTGACCAAGGCGCAGCATGCCTTAAATGTGGGCCAGCTTGTGAAGGACTAGATTTACATTTTTGGAGGTAATTTATATTATTATGATTAATCTTTGAATTGGTATTTTGAGAACCAAGTTCTTTTTTTGCATTGTAAGTTTACATTATGTATTAATAATTCATAATTTGTATACAGTGAAATACATTGATTGACACAAAAAAATATATACATATATCAACTGAGGCTTATGCTGAATAAATATTTTCTTAATTTTCTAAATTTAATCCAAACAAAAAATAAATAGAAAAGGAAGTAAAATAATGAAAAAAAAATTTTGTCGTTATAATAATTGTCTTTTATTTAGGGATATTGCCTTCCCTCTTTCAAACCCTCATTTAATATATGTTATAAAACCCTACAAATGTGTGTTTTAGTAAAATATCTATAATATTTTGTGCCTAACTATATATTCATTTATTGAGATAATGCAGTAATAATTTTTGTACATACATATATACATACACACACACACACACACCACACACACACACACACACACACACACACACACACACACACACACACACACACACACACACACACACACACACATATATATATATATATATATATATATATATATATATATACATATATATATATATATATATATGTATTATATATATATATATATATATATATATATATATATATATATATATATATATATATATATATATATATATAGGCCCTGCGGAAGGCGAGTTTCACCCAGGCACCAAGGTTTCAAAGGTGCCAATTTTATAATTTTAGTCCGCTAGTTGGGTAGATTTCAGTTTTGACGACCTTTTTTTTTTTAGAAGCCAGTTGGGTACTTTAAAGCAATAAAATATTTTTTCATCCACCTTCGGAATATATATATATATATATATATATATATATATATATATATATATATATATATATATATATATATATATATATATATATATATATATATATATATATATATATATATATATATATATATATATATATATATATACACATATATTTATATATATGTAATTTTTTTTTTTTATAGAAAAATTTGTCGTAACTGTAATTGCAAACTTGAAGATCATGATCTCAAAAATGAAGAAGAAACACATCAAAACATTGTTGCTGTTCTTTTGGCTGATCGTGGCATTTCAAAGCTGGGTAAATTAGAGATTAATGTAAAGCATGAAGATCATTTAGAGAATCATCCTTTAATTAAAAAAAATGTCCAAAAAAACTTTATTCAAGTGCCTAAAGCTTCTGCATCTGTTGTAAGTTTTAAAAGTAAAGCTTTGTTTGACTTTCAAGTATTTTGTATTTTTGAATTTATAGCTAATACAAAGTTTTTTTATGTTATATTTGTTATATATATATATATATATATATATATATATATATATATATATATATATATATATATATATATATATATATATATATATATATAAATATATATATATATATATATATATATATATATATATATATATACAGGAGCTATTCTAGACTGTATTCAACAGCGTCAACTGCATTTAGGCACGGATTTCGGCGCCGCCCAAATTTGAAATTAAGGACTCTTTTTTTTTTTCTTACAGCAATTGTTTTTTTGTTTTTTTTTGCATAAAAGTTTCTACTTTGGGCAATATTTCTGGCAAATTTTACCGGTACAAGGGGTACTGTCACCCAAATTATTTTCTTAGAATAGCCCCTGATATCTACTTATATATATATATATATATATATATATATATATATATATATATATATATATATATATATATATATATATATATATATATATATATATATATATATATATATATATATATATATATATATATATATATACAGTGTGTGAAATTAACCTCAGCACTTGGCATTTACCAAGGTTTTTGCTGAGGGCTTTGTAATATTGTGACAAATTGTCAGTTTATCAAATTAAGCCACTGCAAAGTGTGATAACTTGTGTTTTGGAGATGGGAACATCTATTTTCTTTTTAATTTTTATAGTAATTAACTAACATAAAGTTGATAAAAAAGTTATTAGATAATATAATATAAAAGTTATAAGATAATATAGATAATGAAAAAACTATAAGAGAAATCATAACTAAAACCAAATATAGCATTGTGTTATAAAAATTGTTTTTCATTCAATTTCATTCATGAAATTATAAAAAAATAGTTTGTTAAAAAAGCTAAACTTTATATCTAAAATTATCAAGGTTAATGGTACTTTTGGAGTCATGTCCTTAGCATTTGTTTGCTGAGGCCAAAGAATTTTGCACATTGTATATATATATAGAAATTAAAAATGCTAGTTCTTAAAATATAACTTCTTTGACGTTCTGTAGTTCTGTAGTTTCATCAAGAAGAATTCTTGATGAAACTGCAAAATGAGAAACAGATTGTTGAAGAAAATTAGATAAGGGTTTTTACTAATTTATTATAGCTCTGTTTTTTATAAACATCTATATGTAAAATACACCAACATAGTTTACATATATATACATATGTATATATATATATATATATATATATATATATATATATATATATATATATATATATATATATATATATATATATATATATATATATATATATGTATGTATGTATGTATGTATATATGTATGTATGTATGTATATATGTATGTATATATGTATACAGTATGTTTATATATGTATACAGTGCTCGAAGTGGGGTGGGATGCCATCCCGTCACTTTTTTATAAACTATAAACCATCCTGCCACCTTTTTATAAATCTCTATGTAACAATGATTAGGAGGGATGGTATTTTTAGTTTTTTAATTTACCGAATACCATCCCATTACTTCTTTTTCTCAACTTTGAACACTATATATATATATATATATATATATATATATATATATATATGTATAAGCATCTATATGTAAAATACACCAACATAGTTTACATATATATACATATGTATATATATATATATATATATATATATATATATATATATATATATATATATATATATATATATATATATATATATATATATATATATATGTATAAGCATCTATATGTAAAATACACCAACATAGTTTACATATATATACATATGTATATATATATATATATATATATATATATATATATATATATATATATATATATATATATATATATATATATATATATACATGTATGTATGTATATATGTATGTATGTATATGTATGTATGAATATGTATGTATATATATGTGTGTAAATATTTTAATCTTTAGAGTATAATCTGCAGGTTTTTTAAAAAATTATTTGACTTAGTGAGATGTTTAAAATAACTAATACATAGATAACTAAAATACTTTTATTATAGTTATCAAAATTTTTGGATGCAATTCCAAAAGATAAAGCTGCACACCATGGTGAAGTGGGAGAACAGTATCGAAGTAAACAGCTTGCAAATCAGTTACCTGCGCATGATTTTGACCCATCATTTTGTGACAATCTTACTGATGCTGAAAAAGATAAAATGAAAGCTTTTAATGAAGAGAGAAATGAAAATGCAACTGGCCAAGGAGAGATCAAAGAGAAAACACCAAAAGTGGTTACACAGTGGGTAAAAAGTGTTTTGTGTTTCTTTGTTTTTTTTTTTGTTTTGTTTTTGACAATACACAAAAGTGTGCAATGTTATAGTAACTCAAAAAAATAAACATGAAATAAAATATATATATATATATATATATATATATATATATATATATATATATATATATATATATATATATATATATATATATATATATATATACAATAATTAAAGAAATAAAGTTTTTTAGGTATGTGAGCGATGTAAACTGCATTTGCATGCTGGAGAAATTGCAATTTTTGCAGAACGTGCAGGAGAAGATAAATGTTGGCATCCAAAATGCTTTGTTTGTGCAACTTGCTCAGAAATGTTGGTAGATCTCATTTACTTTTACAAAGATAATGCTATTTACTGTGGTCGCCATCATGCTGAGTTGACCAGGGTTAGATGTGCAGCTTGTGATGAGGTTTGTTTTTTTTTCTTTAAATTGAATTCAAATTTTATTTTCATTTGGTTTAACTTTGTGTACTACTTATTTAGCTCATATTTACAAAAGAGTATACCCAAGCAGAAGATCGTAACTGGCATTTGAAGCATTTCTGTTGCTTTTCTTGTGATAAAGAATTAGGTGGACAAAAATATGTGGCTCGTGAGGAGAAACCTTATTGCATGGATTGTTATGATAAATTGTTTGCAAAGGTATGCGCAGGTTGCAATAAAAAAATCCCTGCTGATGGAAAAAGGATCTCTTACAAAGAAGCCCACTGGCATGCATCCGAAAATTGTTTTAAATGTATTACTTGTTCGAAATCAATGTTAGGCGAACAGTTTATCTATAAAGATAACAAGGTTTTCTGTTCTGCTCAATGTATTAAAAAATAATTTTTTATATCTTTTGTTTTAGTTTTAGTTTTTTATATTTTTCTATTTTGATTGTAGTAGTTTGCATTGTTTTAATTTATGTTACAACTTTGATATATTATCTTTTTTGATCATGTTTTTTAAATGAAGTCTAAAAATTTTAAAACGGGTATTAGTATTTAAGAGAGATATCTTTACAAATCCATTTTTGATTACTTTTTTTTAATTATTGTTTTTCAATTATTAGTTCACAATATGGAGAACTAATAGTTAAAAGTGAAGCTTTTTTTATAGCTACCTTGTCAGAGATAAAGTTTCTGACAAGGTAGCTAGCTATTTACGAGTTACTATCGAAGATAAAATTATAGGTTTAAGAGTTTAAAAATTAATGGTCACATTAATCTTTTATGTAGTAAATTTTGTCATAGTTAGAGTTAGTTAGAGTTTCTTTAACAGGTTTAGTAAAATTAATTTTGTCATAGAGTTTCTTCAACAGGTTTGGTAAAATTAAGTGCAATTAGCGCTTTATATAATAATTCAGACTTTTCTTTTTTTTCCTTTTTGTGAGACCGCCATTGTTAAAGATATTTTAAAATAATTTGTGATGTTGAATCCTATAGACTTGATGAGGTAGTAAAGCTTTTGGTACAGCAGATATGGCGGAAGGTTTATAATGATGACTTTGGAATTAATGTACTTAAGAGTACCATAAAAAAAGTACCTTTCAGTAAATACAATTCTCATCCTCGTTTATAAAATATTTTATGAGAAAATGATTTTCTTATATTTGATACTGTCATTTTATCTAATTGTACGATGACAATTTCGCAAATATAAATCATATCTTTGTATACTCATTAAATGGTTTGAAATCGAGGCAGTTTTTTTATAAGAAATCTTGAAATTTAATTTTAAAATTATAAGAAATTTTGAAATTTAAATTTAAAAAGAAATTTAAAGCTTTTTTACTTCAATGAGTCGTAAAAGTCTACTTTATACTGAGAGAGCGCAAAGCCTAAATTTTGGAAGCAACATACACTTCCTGAACTTAAATTTTATCATAAACTTAATTATTCTAGACTATAATGTTAATTTTTACACTGCTAAATAGACGCAGCGCCATAATGCTTCTTTTTTAGACTGTTACGCTATGTTATTTCAAAACTTTTAAAAAAGTTTTGCCGCGAACGCGGCAAATATATGAAACTATTAAACTACCAAGATAAAATTAAAATTTTAAGTTCACTTAAAAACATAAAAGGAAGTGGAATATATATAAATGAAGACTTTGCTAAAGAGACGATGGAAGAGAGAAAGAAACTTTAGGAAGAAGTCAAAAACCAAGGTAAATACACAACAATTAAATTTAATAAAGTTTTTTGTCGCGAATTTAGGAAATAAGAAAATTTTTGCGTATAATTAAGAAAAAGTTCTACGGAAGTTTTATTCTCTTGACTAATAGCTAAACAAACAATCGACTACGAAATGCAACACTTTAATGTTTTCAAATCGGCTAATAACTTTTTACTAAATAACTCAATTAAATGATCGCGAATTAAAAATTCCGTAAAAGTTTCTGGTCTTCAAATTTTGTTTTTCTTGAAAACCATTTTTGCGCCACAGTTTTACAATAAACTAAAATTTTAAAGACATTTTTTAGATAAGTTAGTGGACAAAAAAATATTTTTTTGTCCACTAACTTATCTAAAAAAGAAAAAAGAAAGGTCCTCGTTTTCCGACATTTGCCGACTACCAACGATAATTCTAATTTTGCCGACTCTAGTGTCCAATTTGCTGACTAATAACATTCGTAGGGGGGGTAGACACCCCTACGCCCCCCCTCCCCCACCATCTAGGAATGGCACTGATTAGGGACTTTTAAAAATGAATTAAAATTATTAAATAATAACTTTACGGTGATGCACACATAAATATAAGAAGTATAATTAAGAATATTGAAAAACTTAAATATTTTCTTATAGAATGTAATTATTTGTTCATTATGATTTGCTTAACAGAAACTTGGTGTTCTGACAAATCATCCAGAATAAATTCAAACCTGTTAATTCCAAACTACAAACTATTATCGTATAAGCGAAAAGTTCGTATGAGCAAAAACGAAGTGGTGGAATTATGACATATATTCATAATGATCTTACGACTAAAATTAGAGACGATCTTTCTGTTTCTGATGCCGATGGTGAGGTCTTTACAATTGAAATAATAAACAAAAAATTAAAAAATATACTAGTGCCCACCTGTTACAGACTACCTGAAGGTGATATAAAAAACTTTTCAAATCACCTAAAACAAATATTTCTAAAAATAACAAAGAGCACAAAATATCATTCTGTATTGGTGACATAAATATAAATTGTCTAAAATACAATGAAGATGCTGTTACCAAAACTTTCTTTGACGATATGTTTCAACACAACATCTTATACTTCCTATAATAAACAAACCAACCCAGGTAACATTAAATTCAATCACTGCAATTGACAACATATTGACTAATTCATTTTATGATTCTTTATTAAAAGCAGGTGTAATCAAAACGATCACTTTTCGGTATACTTTTACTTTTTTCAAAATACAAAAAATAATAACTCTAAAATCAAAGTCTATAAACGAAAAATTAATAATCTTACTACTCAACAGTTTAAAGACTCACTATTTGTAGTGAGGTGGGACAGGATTTACCAAGAATGCAACCTTTGGCATACCAACTCTGCTTATAATGAATTTATAGAAATATTCTTAAAGCACTCTGATTATCACTTCCCTATAATAGAACAAGAATTAAAAGTAAAATACTTACATAGATTACTAGAGGTATGAAAAAATCTTCAAAACAAAAAAACTTTACATAAAGTATTTAAAAAACTCAAATGGAAAAAATCTAAATACTTACAAACAATACAAAATTTTATTTGAAAAAATAAAAAAAAGTTAAAAAATAAAAAATGCAACTGGTGACATTTAAAATAACATAGAGTACTATAAAAGAAATAATTGGGAACAAAAAAGTTAAATCAAATAGTTTACCTGCTTAAATCGTCATAGACATAATAGAGTACAGTAACAAAAATACTATTGCTGAAAAATTCAACGAATTTTTTTGTTAACATTGGCCCTAATCTTGCCTCAAAAATTAGATCTCCTAATAACTCATTTGAATCATACCTAAGTGATACCCAGAGCGAACTAAAACACAAAGAACTAAACTACCAAGAACTTAATGTTGCTCTAAATTCTTTAAAACTAAATAAAACTCCAGGTATAGATGATATCTGTAGTAGGATAGTGGCAAATGTCTTTAGAGCGATAAAAAAAACCTATACTTAAAATTTTTAAGTCTTTGATTAAAACAGGAGTTGTACCGGACAAGTTAAAAATAGGTTTTTTTGTTTTTTTTTTAATTTTGTTCTTTAATTTTACAACTTTGTGGTTTAATAAATATTCGTTAACAATGTATATATATATATATATATATATATATATATATATATATATATATATATATATATATATATATATATATATATATATATACATATATATATATATGATCGTTATTAAGAAATAAAAGAACGTGGGAACTCGTAGAAGACCGTAAGGTCTTGTCGTCGAGAACCGCTAAAAAATTTACGTGTTAATATTTCGTATTAATAAAATATTCTCAACTTTTAATAGGAATATATACTTAACATACTTGAAGATAACAAGTAATTAAGAATTAAGAATTGAAAACATTAACAAATTTAAAGAAAAAAAGAAAAAGAAAAAGGGTTCCGTTATAAATACATAGATGCGTTATACAGTTTTAAGATACCTTTAACAAAATTGTTAAACTTTTTGTTAAAGGTTTTGTTACACAGTTTTAAAGTACCTTTAACAAAAGTGTTAAATAACTATTTACAAATTGTTAAATTATAAATTTTATTAATGCAGTTATTAATGCAAATATAAAGTTAAAAAAAAAACCAAAAATTAAAAGAATATAGATATAATCTAATAAAAAAATTACTTTTTTAAGTTTTTGTTTGAAAGAGTGATAGCTAACTTCTTGAGAAAAGTCAAAATATTTTAAAACTATTTTATTCCAAAGTAATGCTCCTCAAAATGAAATACAGTACTTTCCAGAATTTTTTGATAAGCTGATTGACGAATGTCATTATTATTTCGTAAAATGTACTTAGTTTTTTCTTTTTTGTTATACAAATTATGAAATGGTACAGGAGAAATATTGTTTTTACATTTAACCATAAAACATATAACGTTAAAAATATTAAGCTCATATAAATTTAAAACTTTCATTTCAATTAATAGAGGCTTGTCATGAGTAAATCGATCCTTAAAATTAATAAGGCGTGCAACATGTTTCTGTTGACGATAAAGAGGTTCCAGTTAACTTTTATTAGTACTACCCCACGCAATGTTCGCATCGTTTATGTGACAATGAATGAGCGAATAATATAGTTTAAGTAATGTATGTTTATTTAAAAAACTCCTTGCTTTGTACAAAATTCCTATGCTTTTTGATATTTTATTACTCAAAATTTTTATGAATTTGACTTTTCCATGACAAGTTTTCATCAATATAAATACCAAGAAAGTTTGTAACTGTTACTTTTTTTAGAAGTATATTATCAATAAAAAGCAGTGGCATCTCATTTGGTATAAAATTTTTTGTGTGATTTGGATGGAAAAAAATCCATTTTGTTTTATCAATATTAAGAGACAGTTTATTTGTCTTAAACCAATCAGAAACTCTTACTAGTTCATTATTGATATTCTGAAATAACAATGTAATATCATTGTGAGATAAAAATAAGTTCGTGTCATCTGCAAACATAATCGTCATTAAATTTGAGGCTTTATGGTGATCGTTGATGTAAATAAGAAAAAATAATCTAATATTGATCCCTGAGAAACTCCACAGGTAATATCAAGCAAGTTTACTGGTGAAACTACATCAACGTATACAAATTGCTTTCAATTATTTAAATAGCTTTTTAACCAATTTAAAACACTTCCGTTTATACCGTAAATCTTTAGTTTATTTAAAAGAATATTGTGGTCTATTGTATCGAAAGCTTTAGCTAAGTCGATAAAAACCCCAGCTGTTTATTGGTAGTTTTCAAAAGAGTTAGTAATACTTCTCGTAAACTGGAAAACTGCGTATTCTGTCAAGTTATTTTT